GATAGTTTAATCCAGCAAAGGCTTTCTCGTTTAAGCACTCAATTCTATTATCCTGTAGCCATCTTGATATTAATTATTATGAATAAAGTAAAATGTCAATATGCAATACTTAACTCACAATCTTCTCAAGTTTACTGTTTGTCTAAAAGCATTTCCAGGTATTGATGTAATCAAATTATCATAAATGATCCTACAAACACTTTACATTAAAACTGAAGGTTCACAATCAATAACAAAGACAAAAAATTTTTGTTGATGGTATGATGGAAAGCTAATAAATGTGCTGGTATGTATAAATATATCACTCACAGTTGTTGCATATTAAAAAGCCCATGAAAAGTTTTCTCTGTGATACTTTGCAACCGATTAGTCCGAAGATAACTGCTCATAATAAATAGTGTTATCATTTTTGATAGTTTTTATAAAGTCTTACAGGAATATGATTGATCTTAGCTCAGAGAATGCACGATCTTCAACCACTTCAATTAAATTATTTGACAGCACTAGTCTCTGTAATCGAGTCAATGGTGAGAACACATCACTTGAAATCCTTCTGATTCGATTGCTGTCTAAATACCTAATGCATAAAGAGATCATGTAATGAGTGCTACTTGTTTTAATGTTATACTACATACAATGAAGTGAGGGAAGGAGTGTGAATGAAAACATCATGAGACAAGGTCCTTATCTGATTGGTTCTCAGAACACTATTATAGTATAATATATACATCAGTAAATAAGTATTGTAGTATTATGTCAGTGCCTTACAGAGTTCGTAGGCCATTCAAACCAGCTAGGCTAGCATTAGTCAGCTCAATGATATTATTGCTGCTAAAATATCTGTGGAAGGTTAAAATAACACAAGAAAGTGTAATGGAGTTTATGCATACAAAAGGGTAAGCTTGCTCAGGTGCTGAAAGGGAGAGTCAGACAAGTCTCTTATACCATTTCCATAAAGATAGCTATAGGAGAAAAATAAATTTTATCCCAAAATTTTTACAAGGGAGCTTGAGTAATGTATGCAATACAACTTACAGTCTTTGAAGATTGGGTAAATTTGCAAACAATTGAGGGTTGAGACTAGTCAAACGATTATTATGAAGCGCACTAATAGAAACATCTTCATAATAAAAAAAAGTATAGTTAAGCCTATAACTTACAGCACAATGAGAGAAATCAAATCATCAAACACTCCAACAGGTAGACTTGATATCGAATTGGAATACAATAGCCTATATGACAGAATTAATAGCCCCTATTGCATATAATTCAGTTGGCAAATAAATTTGCTGGAAAAATTGTAATTCAGTTTCTTAGTAAACCTTGAGGCATGAAAAAGATGTTTAGCACCTTGAGGTTGAATAAGATTCTTAAAAAATAGCATATTTTACACGTCTATTGTTCATAATATGTGACAATTTTTAACAATGATTGCTTACAATGATTTCAAGCCAATCAGTCCCATAAAGACATTAGGTTTAAGTGTAGTTAATCTGTTTCCATCAAGGGACCTGGAGAGAGAGTGATATAACACATATATCACATGCATGTTGTATAAACTGACAGTAATTCCAATGAGGTTAGATCAGAGAATGCATATTCCTCAATATCATCAATGAGATTGTCGTAAAGAAACCTATTATTATATTTATATGCATGATGTATTATTAATAATACATTATAATTAATTTACAATCTCTCTAGGTTTGGGAGTCCATTGAAATCATCGACAGAGATATTTTGTATCAAATTAAAACTAACATTGCTAGAAAAAAAAAGCAAAAAATTAATTATTTTCACTAGTTTATTTTGTCTTACAGAATTATCACATCAGGTCTTTCACAGTGTATAAGTCCAGGAGGGATTGCAGTAAGACCTTTTTCAGTGCAATGGATGGAGCCCTCTATATCACAGTTACAACTAGCTGGACAAGAGTCGCAGTCTATTGTAGTATTAAAGCTAGAGCTATTGCCATCACTTGAAGCATACAATCCAATGACCAGGGAAAACAGTATAAGAGAGATAGCAGGTTTTATCATCATAATCAAAAATA